TTCATGTGGTGGGTTGGTACTGAAGGGTGTAGGAAGTTTTCTTTTCTGATAGTAATTACAATTGTGATCTTGTAGAATGTAGATAGGGTGTAGGGTGAAGAACCTATAATTATCATGCTCATTAATGGTTTTAGGGTTTAGGAGGTGAGTGGAGTGATCAGTACTCTGGTGGCTTTTGTTAGAGTGCGTGTAAAAGGGTTTATTACCCTGAAGCCTACTACCCGTTTTGAAACTTAGAGGTGTTGATGGCAAGTCAAGTGATATCAGCGAGTAGAACCTATTCACTGTTGTTGTGGTAATCACAGAAGAGTTGGTCTCAATCTCACGTGTCTCCCTATTCAGTATCTTAGATTTTGTCTCCCCACTCTTTTTGTCAGGGCTGAAGAGTTTCGTTGCCTCTGTGCAATGAATTTAGGTTCATTCGAGTTATCTTGTAGAGTATCTTTAGAGAGAATAACTTTCGAGTGAATATGTGATCCTACATGGAGAACAACGGCGAGAAAGACCTCTAAAAGGTGTCTTTTAAGGCTCGGCGTTAGATATCGAACACTAAAAGAGGTTTGTATATTGCCGTACCTAAAGACAATAAAAGAAAGAATTTCACTTGTGTGTCAGTATTTTTGTTCCGATGTATAGACCATACGATTCGTGTTTAAAAGACACAAATTCAACAGTCTGTGTCAATAATCTTATAGCAAGTTACCGTTAGTATCTATTCTACTTCTGAATTAGCTAGCTGAGAGTGAAAATACCAATTCTTTCTGTATTAGGTTCCAAAGTTTGATAGATCGGTGAATGCGGGAACATTGATTCGAGGACCAATAGAATGACATGGTTCAGCCTTGCAGGTGTGGTCAGTTTGTGTAACTTGACTCTTTTACTCATATCAAATATATTGTTCTATCCCCAGCCTAAATGTGTTCTGTAGAAACGCCAAACATGTTGCTGATAGCTACGATACGACGAGTCAACGTAGACGATGATGTCACTTCCATGTAAAATCTTATGCAATAGGTAGTCGCATTATCAAATATCTACAATTTTGAGGTTAGGTCTATTATCGTGACAGTCTTAACAACGAACTAGACAGTAATTCTACAATACAAAGGAAATTGAGACAAGAAGAGATGTCATGTAGTGTCCTGTTATAGGAGACTTGAAAATACTTGACGGATTAAGAACTGCTATGTTGAATATTAATAATTTCATTGTTTTGTATATTTTTGTTCCACTCAACCTTGAACTTGTTTGTTCATAGCTGTAACCTTGGATATTTTGGTTTCACCCTGTTTGATATTTTAAAGGCATTCTTTCTGGAAACCAAAAAATGGAATGTCCATTTTGCAATTATTATAATTATCATTAAACGATATATTTGGGTTGATTACTGACATTTTACGAATGGACTTTGGTACCTGAATTGGAATTTGGTTCTGTTGTTATTCGGGGTCGTACGTTACAAGTATATCATTTGAACGTTCTACAATGACGGACAACAACAAAATTGGGGTGTAACAAACCTACGTTTGATGTTTTAACAAGTTTATTTCGCGGAAGCATGTAAATGCCATCAAAGCTTGATAATGAACCATCGTGGCTAATAATTAATGTAGATGATCTGTTATTATAATCGACTTAGCTAGTAAGTTGTGAGTAATAATCAACATTACAATACGATAATACACGTGAGCATTAATCGGAGGACTTATAGAGTAATGGATTAACGTAAATGAAAATCGATTGAGAAAGTTTAAGTAAAATGAGGACTAATATAAGGCTGTGTTTTTTTGTCGTGCTTACCGATGTAGAATTATGATCCATTTCGTTATTACTACTGCCCTAATAATTGGCTCCAATCCTAAAATTATAGGTTTGTCATGATGTGTGTTAGATCCATTTTGAAAGTGAAAATCCCTCCATGTATACATTTGTGATTTCTTCTTTGTAGTTCCTTTATTTGTATATATTGTTAACTTTTTTGATGCCAATTGAAACTGTAACTTTTAATTTTCACGGTTTTCCTATATTTTTCATTGAGTCTCTATATTTCTTACTGAATTGTATTTAATTTGTTTTAATTGTCATTATTCTGGCGGCTGCCGTATTGACTGTTCGCTCTCTAATTGTGCGGTTTGATTTTTGACTGGGATCGTGCATTTTTGGTTGTAAATTGGAACACTTTCCCAGAACCTGAAGCACTTTGTGTTATAGAACAGACGCTCAAACGGAATCTTACTTGATCTATCCAAAAAGGATAGAATAACACTTACCTTTTGGTGTGTTCGGTAATTTTCATATATTTCTTACCACTGTGCTATTCATTGTAATGTAGGTTGATTATTTTGGGATCAATTGTTGGTTGAATAACTGCGTGGTAATATTTGTTTAGGTAAATTTGTACATTTGTATATATGATGAATTTTAGAACCGTTGTTACCCAAAACACCTTGTTCTGATTTCGATTGGGTCACACGTCCACAAAACTATTCCCCAGTTATTCAGCCACATCCAGACTTATTAGGATTTAGGTTTGGATATTACAATGTGATTTCCTAATCTATAAGATCTTACGTGAAGGCCACACCCTTGTCTTGACCGACTCTTCTTATTGTAATCATCACCAATATATGATGTAGAACACATTCAGGCTGGAGATAGAACAATATATCTAATATCAATAAAGGAGATAATACACAAGAATAACCACGCCTGCAAGGTCGAAATTTAGGCATTTAAATATGAAACTTCGGTTTGGGAACGAATATTTTCTATCAGTTTCTTCACCGTTTTCTCCATCATGAGACTGTGATAGAAGAATCGTCATCAGCTAAGACCAAGCCATTTGGATGGTAATGTTTGTTTTTACACAGAAAGTTTCTAAGCGCAGAAACGTCTGTCTGAAAAGTAGAGCCGTACGTAAAGACGTTAAATGTGATATTGCGTCTATTTAAAAAATGTATCATTGAAGACAGAAGTGTAGCGTCTGGGCTTCAACACGCAAAAGTAGTGGCAGCTATATATTGTAGTGCGCTGAAAGATGCAGGTGACCAAATATAAATAATCCAAAATGAATCTATCCATATAAGTAAAATTAGCAAATGTAAAAATAAATAGGAATATCGGACCGTAAACTTGACCAGGGTGGTATGACTTTTCTAGAAAATATTGTCCTTTGAAGGTCGTTTAGATATCAGGGGAAAAATTCAGATCTCCGAAAAGAAACACGGTTTAAGGACGGGTTATTCGCATCTCAAAAACTTATTAATAACAGGAGAAAGCTGGTGTTCTCTCAACGACCAAAACTCTTTATGGACTTCCGTTTAACTTTTAACAAAGTCCCTCACAATAGGTGGTTATCCTAAGTGAGAAATTAGTTACAAACTAGGCCTTATGATGGACTGTGGTGTAAAAATCTGACTAACAACAGTGTTATTCAACAAAAATGTGGAAATGATCACTAATATGCAAAGTATAATGTATATGTATTACACAGGAGTTACTTGCAACTTATTAGTAGTTGCACACTAAATAGGTTCAGTTCCTGAGGTACAACAGGTGATTACAAGAAATTGAATACAATTGAAGACACTGATGAATGAAAAACATAATATGTAAATCAGTTTCATATTGGAAAGAACAGGAGGCTAGAAGGCGTGTGTTAGTCCTGGCAATAATGGCCCCTCAGTTGATCCAACTTTTTTTTGAAGGAGTCTACAGATGGAGTTTCAATCACATGTTGAGGTGGTGGATTCCACTCGATGATTCGATGAGAAAGTCGGTAGTCAGCTGATAGGTAATCTTTCCTGAGTTTGTGAACATTTTTTGAGTGTCCTCGTAAATTTTCTGTTTTTGGAGACAAGGAAAATGAGGGCATATTAGGTGCAAACTCATTACTAAGTTGTCCGAAAACTGTAATCAAGTCACTTTCAGTTCTTCGATGTGACAACGGAGAATGGGTTTAGCTTAGTCAGTCGAGCATTATTCGGGAGCTTCGGTTTTCCGGAATCAGCTTAGTTGTTGTTTTCTGAACCTTTTTCAAAAGCTCATTGACTTTTTTAAGCAGGGACTAGCCGCTTGTATGCAGTACTCAAGTTTAGAACTCACGAACATTATATGAAGTCAAAAATGTTTTAGCGTCGACAGGACTAGAGGCCCTCTGTATTGACCATAGTGTTCCAAAACTTTTAGCTGCTATTGCACGGCAGTGTGCAGTAGTTTTTAAGTCTTTGCTTACGATGAATCCTAAGTCACAGGTAGCTCAGTGTTATTCATCGTTTATGTATCTGTACTTTGATGACCGATATGAGTCGCAATATACTTATTTACTTACACCTGTTACCCCTCGGTGGAGGAGCATAGGTCGCACACCAGTATTCTCCATCCAACCTTGTCTTGGGCAATCCTTTCAAGTTCTTACCAGTAAACATTCATCCTTTTCATATTTGCTTCTATTTCCCGACGGAATGTATTCTATGGCCTTCCTCTTTTCTGCTTCCCTTCCGGATTTCAAGTTAGCTCTTGCCTCGTGATTTCCTTGATGTATGTCCGATCCACTTCCGACGTCTCTTCTTAATTTCCTCTTCAGCTGGAAGTTGGTTTGTCCTCTCCCATAAAACACTGATGCCGATAGTGTCTGGCCAGTGAATGTTGAGTATTTTGCGTAAATAACTGTTTATAAATACTTGTACCTTCTTGACGATGGATGTAGTAGTTTTCCACGTTTCAGCTCCGTATAGTAGGACTGTCTTGACGTTCGTATTGAAGATTCTCACTTTGAAATCAGTTGACACAATATACTAGTGTCATGTTGTTTTTAGCCCATTTTAACCTATTAACTCTTAAATCCAAAGGAAATATGCGTGTAAAGTAGTTCTTTTATAGATGAGTAGGGCAGTGATAGCAGTGTTGATGAGAAATTTGAGAACTTTTGAATCAGTTTCTTTCTAAACAATGGACATTGTATCTCGATTCCCACTAAAATTGTATCGTCTCGCCACACCACTGTTTAATGTAAGTTGTGCTTGTTCATTTCGTGGAACGTAAGCGATATAAGAGGATAATTTATGAATTGGGAACGACTGTTCCTGACTTGCCGCATGTATATTTAATCTTATGAATCCATTGTACAAAAATAATTTGTGCATTTATTCTTTGTAAAGGTTTTCCTTTGCTCAAAAAATATATAGTGTATTATATTTTTCACTTATTGTTAACTCGATAAGTAGCTGTTTTGACGTGTAAACGTGTGGGATCGATTTAATGTGAATGTGTGAGTGGGTTTTTATCAAACAGTTAGCTTGTACAAGCTAACTAGAGTACGTACTCTGAGGTGATAAAACTTACAGAACTTCGCGAGGATGTGAAACGAAGTTATTACTAGTGTACCGTAACCACAAATAAACGAGATTGTTGGTTCACAGGCACAATCAAAATAATAAATGTGTCAAATAGGTTCAAATGTTTCCTGATGGATTTATAACCAATTATTATCTGTATGACTAGTAGTGTCATTTATGGCGGTGATATATAGTATTCTATTTACACGTCAAGCCTATAAAAAATATAATACATTTCATGTTTATTCTGTTTAACATGTGGATTAATCTGCACAGCTTTCTGTATACAGCATTTCACATAGTTTGTTACTCGGTATTTAAGTATTAGGAACACTTTAAGCTTGTAGTTAGTTAGGGAAAACATTCTCAGTTCAAAGTGTATACTTACGCTTTATCAGTGTGATTCTAAAAAACGACGGGCTACAAACAAAATGAAAGATAAAGGTTTTTGATCTGCTTAAGATCTGATAACTAAATGACATCCAGTAGCAAAATGTAGTTATAAATCCTACATTTTGCAAATAATGCTGTAAATTATAAGATTGCCTTTGGTGATTTGCCTACATTGATCGACTTTCTATTTTACTTTGTCACCTGGTACATGAACCTGGATTTGGTTGTCAAGTTACGTCTATTGATCGGATGATTTGTTACACTTGTAAGTGAAGAATTATTTCGAGTACATCATCTTCATTTGAAAGGGGCACTTAACTACCTTCTATAATTAGCCAAAGCGAGGATAAAATTTCCAACTCTGGTAATTTGGTATTAGAGAAGTATTACAAATATGGCAACCTATAAGACATCTACCTGCTTTTCGAGACTTAAATAATACAAAATGGTGTTTTCCCAATCAAATTTAATATTTCCACGTTTCGCTGCCGTTTAATCAGAATAAACCCAGTAAACTAGAATCTGGTGATTAGCTCATTGCATTATATTTCCCTCTCGTAGTAACACAGTTTTCCTTGGCTTTGACAAACTTCGTGTTATGGTAAAACTTTCATCATTATCTAGAGTTCACTTTCGACCAGGCAGATATGTAATTCGCATGATTTGGTGTTGATACTTACGAGAATCCTCAATCTAAAACTTTTCTTCTAACCCTCTACGCCTTATTCTTTTTGTTAATTCTTAAGAATGAACTATACATATACTATACTATATGTACTTTTTCAGTCTCTGTATGTTTAGGACCAACTATTCTAACGATGGAATCAAAAGACAATGTAAGCCTTGTCATTTTTGGCAACATATTGCTGAAAATTTTAGCCTTCAAAGCCTTTTGTGTTTCCAGTCATGAAAAAGACAATTGAAGACCTATTTACTAAGTCGAAAATTACGAAAAATGACATCGAAGCTTTCCAAGACAAATATTGGGAACAACTTGTCCCTAATTTCAGTCAAGCACTAAAGCTTCTGGACATACACAGAGTTCCAAGACATAATATTTTATGGGTATATAATCTTTATTGTTAATTATCTTTGGTCAGAGCATAAACGATCGCCTTATGGATGCTATTAAAGCTAGAGTTGACTCAAAGGCTGATGATTGTGACCAGAAGAAATGCCAAAAACTTTGGCAAAAGCTTATCAAGACGGGAATAGTGTATATCCATCATCCATATATGCGTTCATTAATCATGCAGGTATGCATTATTTTTATCCGTCTTTCGGGACTGTTTTATAAGATGTTTTTATGTAACCAGTAAACCGCTTTGAGCATAGGTTTTGTACTTATCGGGATTTACTAGCTAATGTGTCGTCCAAATATGTCAAGTGGTGTGGTTACATGAAGCCCAAAATGCTTAAAGTCTAGTCTTTCTTTGAGGATGCAAATACTTTTTCTTGAGTCTAAACAACCACTAGTCTTAACTCCAGGTCCAAGTCACAACCTCCTTTGAGGTTGTATCAAACCAAGTAGATTAATTGCTGGATTTCGTCCCTTACGTGATAGGATTTGATAAAATCACTTTGGAGACAGTGAGACAGCTTTAACGTTTGAGTAATTCTTATTTTAATCCCCCGATATTTACCATTGTTATATATGTGGTTATGTAAATTGGTGCTCATCCTTGATATTTCCGTCTGTAATCACTATTCATTGTTACTACTACCTTTAGAAATTAGTCGTCAATGCAGTAAAAACAAGTTATGAGGTTCGGGTCGTCGGTTTTTATTACTGTTATTAAATATTTTCAACTCACTTCATCAGGTTATTAAACCGGCGCAAGTAAGTGATGTATTTGTATCACTTATACATATAACTTAACTATTGAACTAAAAGATCCAGGTAAAATCAATTGCTAAATATGTGTAGTCAACCTATAAGGGATGTGGACATCAGAATAGTGAAATACTGTTTTATGATCTTTCTCGTGTCCATAGTATCATTGTCAATCAATTCTACCCACTCTCCATTTTCCAAATAACAAAAAAACTAAGTTTCTGAGCATTAAACGTACAGTATATATATATGACCATATTGTATCGGTCGACGCTTCTGTTATGATTAACACTAGTAGTACTTTTTTGTTAATATAGTCGTATTTTATGTGATCACCGCTTGTCTTCCTTTTGATCTAAAGGTTCTTGGGAAAATGAATTCGATTAAAGAAAGGCATGTCAACCTAATTGTTGACAACAAATATTTATATGATGACGCTCCTTTACCGGTCTTACGTCATATTTGGGTTGCTCACCCTCACAAGTATGTGGTAAATTTTTGTTATAAACATGCAAGCTATCTGGTAATCAATTCCTACACATCTGATTTCTCATGAGAACAGTCATAGACTGGATGGTTAGACGTTATCGTTGACCAGAATGGTAAAAATGAAGGCTTGTAATCTTCACTTTTACAGGTACTTCATGCTAATAAGTGACATTATGCATAAAACGTGCATTACAGTTGGGTCTGTTTCCAAATGACGTCATGTACCTGGTCATAGATACTGCTCTGCATTATTCGATTTAATCTAAGCTATTTGCCTAGGTCACATTTATGTACTCAGCGTATCGTTCTATTTGAGAATCTTTAGCTAGATATATCTGCATTCTAGTATGGGTTTTCAGTTTTGTGCCTCGTATCAAATACCAGTATGTTGTCCATTGATCTACTGAGGCAAAGTAGCCACCAACTTAATAAGCATGGTGTTTGCGTCACTATTAATAGGCGTTTAAATTATCCCTTTGTTGTTATTCAGGATGAAATTTTAATCAGTCTTTGTTAGCAGTTCATCTTGTGTCGATCATCTCGATATAACCATTTTTCCATAAGTTACTTAGAATAGGTGAATGAATCTTTGACAGAAAAATTCAAACATTTGATTGTAATGATATAGGTATTACCTTGGGTCATTTTTAATAACCAATAAGTATATGTAAATTATGCCTACTGTTTTTTTATCAGCAAATAGCGTTTTGTCACTAAATTATTTATTATAAATTGGTTTCTTAACTATTAGACCAACCGTTCCTGTGATGAGAAACAACAATAAATTACTATCTTATCTTATGGTTTTGAATTTGATATTTTGTTTTTTGTTTACTATCGTTTGGAGTATTTGATTATACAATCTTGGATTATGTGATTTCACAGTTATTAGTATTCACAAGGATGTCATCATTACATATTCCATTGTTGACTACAGTTGACTTGATGATGTAAACCTTTACGATTCACGACCCATGGGATTTAATCGTTTTGGAGAACCAAGGTGATATTACTTCAATATTTCTACCAGTCAGTGATAGTTTAAATTAGCTTAATGGCTTTATGTATGCTGCGAAACTGATCCTAATCTAACAAATAGCATGAGTTTCGTTTTACTCCTGGTTCGGTCACAGAAAAATGGTTAATCTAACTTTCCAGATCATTATTGGTCTCAAATATAGTCTCCAAAAACTAAGGATTATCGCTACATACTCTTGTGGTCTAGTGAAAAGCAGGGGTTCTTCCTCTAGATATTTCAAGTTACATAAATTTTATTCCTTGAAGTTTTTTAATCCTTACTGGCTCGAGTCGCTGCCTGAATAATAGCGTCTGTAAATTTCACATTTTGTAAAGTTGACTCATTTCTCATGGATGAAGAATAATTTTCCTTAAGCATATCAGTTCGCCTTTCCAATCAATGCAACTCTAAACGAAATCCTAATTTTATAAATTCATACAAATCGACTCTGTCTGTGGCAATCTGGAATTTATTTTTTTAAATGTCCATATAGTAAATTTTATAAAAACCAATCTATATATCGGTTGGAACGTTATAACATACCATGGTTTTCACTGATGACCAATTGAAGTATGTTTTATCGAACATAAATGAGGTTTCCTTATTATCTTTCTCAGTTTACACCACAGGTTAGCACTTGGATTCCTGGAGAAAAAAGTGCTGCGAAGCCTTGGAAGGAACAGAATCAGAATGACTTAAATTCATTTTATTTCATTAGCTTCTTGTATAGTTGCCTACATTACATAATATTTCAACATTAAAATTACCAAGTGTGTTAAAAATAACTAGGTGAATTTATTTGGGAGTTGTTACAATCAAAAACCAGCATAGTGTAGCAAAGATATCAATTAATTTAAAGAAACTAAATAAGACTACAAGTATGTCGCAACAACATTATTATTAATAAAAATTAAAACTATGAAACTATAATTAAGTGGCTACGTAATTTGTAAACGCTTATGATAAGTAAGAATAAAATTTGGAAGCACTAGACAGCCATTTCGTCCTATTATGGGACTCCTCAGCAGTGCGCATCCACGATCCCGCCTCACGAGATTCGAACCCACGACCTACCTGTCTCGGTTAAGTGCTCTAGCGCGAGACAGGTAGGTCTTGGATTCGGATCTCATGAGGCGGGATCGTGAATGCGCACTGCTGAGGAGTCCCATAATAGGACGAAATGGCCGTCCAGTGCTTCCAGGTTTTCCTTGGTGGTCTAGCTTCAATTGACTGATGATTTCAACTATGAAAATACTAAAATTTCCACAAAACTCCTTTTAACAATAAAATGAATGTAGCTCAGTTAGTTAAAGAATTTTAAAATTTTATGTACATGGGTATTTTCAGCTCACTTTTTAATATTCAAATATGACAGGATTTAAGCAATTGACAAGATCCCAATAAATTTTGATGAATTTATTGAAATATAGACCTAAACATCAGTGGAAAGATTCAAATAACCGATAAAAAATGAGTTAAACTTCATGTCATTGCACAATCTAGTGGCTATCTGGACTTAGTAGCTAAGTGGATAACGCGATTGTGTTTTGAGCGAATGGTACTGGATCCGAGTCCCTAAGTGAACGTTAACTCCGGGATACAGGTACATTCAGCTGACAAGTCCCAAATAGGATGAAACACGCGTTTTAGATTCCACTGCCAGCCACCATCCATCTCTTAAAATGAATTTATATTGTTCTGTTCAAATCTTTGTTACTGCAAACCTTGTTCTCTTCTTGAAATGTCTGAAAATAAAATAAATTATTAGTTTTATGGTTTCGTAAAATTATACATGGGTTCACTTCAAACTAGAATCTTCTTCGAATTGTGTGATTTTAGCGAATTTTTTTATGTACACGTATTTCAAAAATGAAAGTAGGAAGTCTCATGATAAAGCAGACTGTTCTGAGTTTTAGTATAGTTGAAAATATTACTTCCTATGATATTTTTAATGCCTCTGTAAGTGAACTAACATACGCGTTAAGTTTTTAATTATATATACGAATTTGTGTTTGTTTACGCAAAATCTGTTTTCTTGTTTTTGAAAAAAAAAATCAGATTTCAAGAGGAATTAGATAAAGTTATAGCAACATTTCAATCTACATGGTCTTCCGCTATTTTGGATGCTCTTTCAATGTCTATCATGTCTACTGCATCGACAACAGCTGATCTTGTCCCAATTCTTTATTGGCCACCACGTCGTCGTAGACGTGATCCTTCAATTGTACGAATTGTTGAAATGATTGGAGAAGGACAAGTCTTGTATGATAAAGTAACTGAATATCCTATATGGTGTTTTAGTATTCTTAAATGAGCCTAATATAAATTAATAATAATGATACTACTAGTTGTAGTAACAATGATACACTACGACGTATGTACTAAAATATTTCGTTAAGGAAAGACTACCTCTTGTAAAGATGATATACATTGTTGTTTCAGTTGGGGACTTTCTCTTAAATTTCTAGCTTTAATCGATCAATCGATACTTGGATCAAGATTTTTTCGACTTAATGAACGAAGGTTTAAGTATTGTTAAATTAATGGATAGATTACTGATCGATTGTAATATACAATGATACGAATGGGTAATTTGATACAGTTGCTTGCGAGACGAGACAGTTTTCTGGTAAAATAGGCTTTTCTCCTAACAAAATGAACATATTTACGCACAAAATCTTAAACAAGACAAATAAAAGATCAGAGCACATGTCTGTTATGGGTCATTCACTCTTCAGTGAAATTAATACTCAGTCGTCAGACTTAGTTCTTGCCTCATCATTATCATGTTTGAGATATCGATCAATAGTACTGAAACATTATCTCTTAGTTTATGAATATGATAAAAATTAGTTTACTAAGTAGTATATTTTTCTACATTTGCAGTATCAATATCCGCCTAAACTCCTCTAACAATATATAGACATTAAGTAGTAGTAGGTTTATACCAGGCTCCACCTATTTGAACAACTGGATTGTGTTATTACCCCTCAAAGTCAAATGCACGTATCTTTACCCGGTAATGAGAAATTTCTTTTCTATTGCCATTACTATTACTATTACATCTATTATTCTGAAATTTACCTTGCCGTGGCAGCTTGAACCGATGTACGCATGTATAAGGTTCTGCGTTGTGTTTGACTGACTTACTGACTGAGTTAATAATAATAATGTGTTAACAGAGTATTGTTTCATCAGTGTTATGTTCAATTACTTTTAGTATAGTAGTAGTAGTGTTGTGAACGAAGACTTGGTAGGGATATCCGATTTATTGTTTAGTACAAATCATAGAATGTCTTCATAACATATGAAAACCATACATTAAATACTTCATTTGCACATCTTCTATTTATTGTTTTTTTACAAATTTCATCTGTCGTTCCTGTTGTTATTACTATTACTTTCTGTTTACATTCCTGTTCTCTTCAATTCTATCTCCTCAACCTTTTGCTACCAGGCATTTTACTTCTGATTGTTGTTACATACGACTTATGCCTGTCGACATAAGTAGCATAAACCACAGAAGTAGTGATGACATATGTTGTTTATTTCTTAATTCTTCTTCACTATAGACTATAAGCATACTTCGTGATCAATGTATAAAATGTGAAAAAGCGGCTTATTCACTTATGGAACAGCAAATCAAATCGACAATTGGAAATAATAATCCATCCGAGGAAATAGATGAACAACCACCACCAGCTAAACGAAGTAGACAACGTTTTTCAAGCAAAGAAAAATCTTCAGATATAATACAACCTTCAGCTAGTCAACCTATTCCATATATTCCATTAGCTTTTATGCCTAATCAACCTTCAGTTGCTTCAGCAACTTTATGCACACTACGTTTTGATTTATTGATGAGTTTAAACGAAGCAAAAATCGATCGACTGTGTGTTCCTGATAGAATTCATCGTTTTGTTTGGTGCTTAGATGCGTGTGTTCGTAATCGTCGAATTGATCAAAGGCATGCTAGTGAATTAGCCTATCATTTACAATTACAACGCCGTCGTTGGGCTAAAGAAACAGCTGATGAATGTCATGAATCATATGAATCTAATGAAAATATCAGTGGAGAAATGTTTAAACGTGGGCATTCTAGTTCTTCTCGTGGTAAAAATTCTAAAAGTGGGAAAACCAATCGAAAACAATCTCCTACAAGTGCAGAAAAACATTGTAATTCAGAGGATTTAGAAAAGATAGCTGATGTAAACTTGTTAGAAAAGTAGGTGGAAGTTAATTTAGATAGTGAATATTAACTGTTAACTGGAGAATGTTTTTGATATATTTTCTTTCTAAACTGAATTCTATGACTGAATTTTTTAATAGTCATCAGTAATCCAATGACGTTTATGAAGAGGCTAGTGCTAACATAGCTATTGAGAAAAAAGCAGTGACATCGTTAATGAACGAAAAAGAAATCCCTTCAGCTCTGCTTTTAAAATTCCTACTGATTTCATTAATGGATATATTTTTATGGTTTAGAATTTGGTTTTCAGCCATCAAATCGCCAGTTTAGATAATACACTAATTTGAAAGGTTTCGATAGAGCATGGTAGTATCATTATTCCTTGGAAAGTGTCCGTAAATAGTTCTTTTGCTTGTGGGGCTCCTCACAATTATCGCAACCAGTGGTTGATGACGTTGAGTGACATGATTTGGAATAGCTCGCAAAATTGACCAAGTTAGCTTACTCTTAGTCTTAAAATACGTATATGTTTTAGTCCATATATTCAATCTTCTCAAATTATATTGTTCATGCGTGATTTTTTCTACTACCATCTACACTGTTACCACTTTTGCTACTCAGGGAATAATTTCAACTGACTGTTCTATTATGAGGTATGGTAATTTGTGTATTGAGAAATTAATTAGATAATAAAGTAAAAAGTTAGAAAATTCGGTAATTTTAGGTGTAATCATAATCTATAAAATATAGCGAATATAATTCGAAGGATGATTAATAATAATAATAATAATAATAATAATAATAATAATAATAATTAATGGCTTTATTCAATATTATAATCTGGTACAATATAGAATTCTCAGCACGAGTTATTTCAACAAGTTTTTTTACCAAAAAAAACACAAAACAAAAAAAACCCAGTAGCTACTGCGCCACCACAGGTCTTTTTATTGTTTGATCGATCCTGACGATAGATATTAAGATCACGTAATGATACTAGGCAATCATCCTGTAAGTCAGTCAACCAAGATTCTTGAATTGTGATGACACCACAATTACGATACATGTTTTGACTTAGCAGAAATTGGAGATAGTCCACCTTGTTAATTAGAGATCGACAGTTGGAGTTAAGCAGCTCGGGAATCGACATTTGATTAATGTTTATTCTCTCTAAAGCATATTGCCAAACACCACAATGTCTCTTATTGTACTTGTTTGTAATTTTTGCAGCGAAAGGACGTAAGCTTTTCATAAACGCGCCTGTATAGGTTATGCGATCAAGAGACATAATTATAGGTTAAAACCAATCTTTAAAAAACCCAGATAACTTGTTGAAATATTTAGATGGCAGAAACAGGTAGCCCAGGGATTCAAGCAGGCCGCCCTATCCAAGGTGTTATTTAGACGTATAAATACAATTAATTCTGTATTGTTTGTTCCCACTGGTGTTTGGGACCCCGATCAATCATTCTTTTATTGGGTCTCTTACTGGGTTCGAGTCCCGGAATGAACATCAACTCTGGGATGCAGGTACATTCAGCTGAAGAGTCCCAAATATGACGGTTCTCGTGTCCTGAATACCACTGCTAGTCACCATTCATCTTTGCGTACATGTACAATGTCCATTAAGTGATATTGACATTTAATGAACCATAAACGTATAACTGTAATCACATTATGATTATGTAACATATTAACTACAGCTTGATGAGAATTCATTTGAGTGTTATTTCAATTGACTTTACTCACAGAGGTACTTTTGTTGTGACAGTTAACTGATCTTAGTACATAATTTTCGACATAAGATAATGTAACTTTAGTGATAACTTAAACTTAATCTCAGTAGGGCTTTAGTAAACACTTTAAGGTAAAACAATATTTTTTTTAATCAGTATTGACCGAATTGTATTAAGTAGGAACAGAGTTCACAGGTTTATCGATTGATGCTCATACTAATTAGCTTGAATGTAGATAATAAATGTTTTGTAAATATAAGGTTGAACGTATATCTTATGTGTTTTCATGCATCAAAGTCACACAGCTTAGCATATATTGCATGTGTTCATGTAAAAGATTTAAAAGAAAAGAGTACTATCAGGCGATTGTCTAGTTATTTTTCATTTTCCATGAAACGGATATGATGCATATGTACCGAAAATCAAATTATAACATGCACGGGAAGATTATTATAACCTCGTCATTCATTTAACTACATTTTCCTTGGTTTCAATCTGCACGCTTTAGTATCGTCTGAACTTCAGGCCATACACGTGTCACTATTTAACATTCTTGAAAATGTAATTATAACAATGTAACTGGTTTACTGTATTCACAGAATTTTGCCCACGGATTTGTTGTTGAATACATGAAAATGATATCAATTTGATTATCAGAAAAAATACGAAACGGAACAGGTAAAACTATAAAACTAGATCATAGATACTTAACATAATACACAATAACAACTGATCCGTCATTGAAAGTGCGGCCTTCTTGAATCCCTGGGCTACCTGTTTCTGCCATCTAAATATTTCAACAAGTTATCTGGGTTTTTTAAAAATTGGTTTTAACCTATAATTATGTCTCTTGATCGCATAACCTATACAGGCGTGTTTATGAAAAGCTTACGTCCTTTCGCTGCAAAAATTACAAACAAGTACAATAAGAGACATTGTGGTGTTTGGCAATATGCTTTAGAGAGAATAAACATTAATCAAATGTCGATTCCCGAGCTGCTTAACTCTAACTGTCGATCTCTAATTAACAAGGTGGACTATCTCCAATTTCTGCTAAGTCAAAACATGTATCGTAATTGTGGTGTCATCACAATTCAAGAATCTTGGTTGACTGACTTACAGGATGATTGCCTAGTATCATTACGTGATCTTAATATCTATCGTCAGGATCGATCAAACAATAAAAAGACCTGTGGTGGCGCAGTAGCTACTGGGTTTTTTTTGTATTGTGTTTTTTTTGGTAAAAAAACTTGTTGAAATAACTCGTGCTGAGAATTCTATATTGTACCAGATTATAATATTGAATAAAGCCATTAATTATTATTATTATTATTATTATTATTATTATTATTAAAATACAGAAAACATAGATGAAATGCGAATGACATTAATTAATTAATACAATTTGTAACGAATTAAGAAAATAAAAAATGTAAACCAAATGAAGGGCCTTCTATCAGTCTCTTGGTTTCAACTCATCAATCATTTCTCCTCCAGGGTTTTCCGTCTCCACATCCCTGTGTTTCCTCAACAATCACCTCATAAAAAGGCTAGATTCTCACTTTGTAACTGAAATATAAGCGTACCGTTTTATGTGTGATACGAAGTTTTTGGTACGGCCATGTCCTCCTTTACAATTCAGTAATCGTGACACATATTGGACAATGGAATCCAGGGCATTGCGGTTGTAAGTTACAACCACAGAACGAATGAAACATTGCATTGCAGTGACAAACAGTCCAAGTTCTCCCTTCAGCAGTTCCACTTAGCGGATGAGCAGGATGGCGTATATCGCACAGGCTTTTGTCATAAGCATCTTTGTCTATGTTGTCGTCTGTCATCGAATTCTTCCGAGTTTATTGAAACAACATCTTCATGACTTAGCGTTGCATCCAAATCCATGTTCTTTCGATAGTCGGTACCATTTGTCTGTTGGATCCCTGGCATGACGGTATGGAAATTCGTTTTCCGTATAAAAGCTTCAGGAACAATTGACGGGATTTCTGTAGGATCCTGTAAATGCCTGTAGCGTTAATCGCCAAGAACATGTCGACTGACGCTATGACATCTGTGAAAGGTGATTCTTCAATAACTGACGCACAGCAGGTGTCAGTTTATCTTGAAGACGACGTATTTAGGGTTCCCGATCAATAATTGTTTTGTTATGACATTCCTATGTGTATTTTTGAACTTATGCTTCTATCCAATGTCTAATCCTAAGAGAAGCACACTGAAGATGAATTTGAGCACGGGTGTTTTTCTTGTAAGTTTGTGGGTCTTCAAGATATTATGTGTTGTCTCAACGAAGTTTCGTTCAAGAAGTTTCACAGCCGGTCGGAATGCATTAGACCATTAGTGTCTCTAAGATAGCAACTGATTTCAAAGATATCGATGAAAAGTACCCTCTGATACGAAAACAAATTTTCGTTATTGGTTTTGCAGGTCCCATCATAACCAATAACATCAAGGAAACGACATGTCAAATTGATCTGATCGACAGTTAAGAAGAAAAAGTACTGAAGATCATTTTCAGTTGGATATAATCATCTACCATTCAAAATATTAATAGGCCCATAGCTTATTTGGGAGATCGGCTCGCGTAACACTTTATGACGCATGTTAAAAACATCTTGAGGATTCAGGTGCTTCCTGTAGGATCGGTAAACAAAGTGTAAAATATTGAATTCTTTTCACTCGGTTGGATTATATGAAATGTGGATTTATCATGTGATGTAAGGTCATGAATATTTGTTTTCCCGTTATTACAAAAAAGTATTGGATTCATTAAGATAGACTTATATTGAAGTGAATTGATTTGTTTAATTTTTCGTATTTGTATACAGAGATATGCATATGGCTTGTCGAGATCCATGGGTCGTTTATACCATTTGTACATCATTAATTCGTTATGTACTTAGTGGTCTTTATGAAGACAAATTACCTCGTGTAAGTTAGTTGATATATATATATATATATATATATATATATATATATATATATATATATATATGACGTATATAGGCTAACATTTTTTCTTAAAGAATAGGTAGAATGTAGTTATTGTTGAGATCTCGGACACGTTTCCTGCTATTCAGGACTTTTCGATTGGATATATTTGCATCCCAGAGTTGATGTTCACTCCAGGATTCTAATGCACTCCTTGGATTCCATTGCTAGCAACGTTCCATTTATTCTGTGCAAAATTGTATCATAATAACTATATCTAAGCAATCCGCTCAAGATGCATATATACACTAAGACTGACCAAAATTCAGTTAAAATATCAACATTTGGATACTATTTTAGTGGTCCTAAATCTGACTCCAATTTGATCATGTGATTATTGTTATCAAATGATTGCTGTCGAAACATACATCCTGACTACTTTTTTAGTGGTGCCGTGGTCTCTCCGATTTGCCCGTATGATCGACTATATATATATAAACAGACTGCTTTCAGTCTTTTAAAATTACTTCATAAATAAATAATACAATACACACAAATGATAACAATATTGAAAGAAAACAGAAAGATAGCTTAGATTATAGTTGATGGTATTACATAAAATTTATAGGAATGCTTTGTTCCACATATACCTATTTGATCAATCGATAAGGTTATGAACTACTGATTTTCACTTTGTCGTCGAATGCAGGATCCCCTGTGTTATCTACAAGACAGTGATTTAAGAAATTATATAATAGATCTTTAAAACTTGAATATTTTCGTATCATACAGATTTGTTTCATTCACTTATTTGTAACTGATCCATTTTATTTATACTCCTATAAATGTACTTCTGTAATGTTAAATGATGTAAACAGGAAATTCTGTGCATAAATTTCAAGTTTTTCCTGTTCATCTGATCAATCTAATTAAACGCTAGATTCGGTTTCTTAAGCTCTTCTAGCGTTTTCAGAGCACCTTTTTGCTTTTTTCGAGGAATTTTCCGGGTCTCCCCAACATATTAAATCTTAAAAGTATTACCGTTATTCATATTTAAAGTAAAACCAGTTTTCCCATCTATTTCATCGTGTTTTTTTCCTTCAAAAATCTACAGGATATACCTGAAGTACACTTACTTGTTCATTTATTAGTACTTGGCTTAGGCGATGATTTGATTCCGTATTCTTGTTTACAATCAAAAACTAAAGAAAATTCTATAAGTAAGCGTAATAGTACTACCACTACTGTTACTTCTTCTACACCATCATCATCATTGTCATCTGATATTGATGATCCTACATTGAGTTGTCCATCGAAAGCATTAATTAGTCATATTTTACCAGCTGTTGCACAATTACAAGTATTAACATGGAGAGCACAAGTGGCTGAAGAAATTTTAACATTAAGCAATAGTTTATGGCCTACTAATAGTTTGGAAAATACTACTACTAGTAGTAATAGTAGTAGTGGTGGCAGTGGTGCTGGTGGTGGATCAACACCATCTAATAATAATAATAATACAAATCAACGATCAACATCTCATGAATCAAAAGAATCATTTAATCCGTCATCATCATCATCATCATCATCATCATCATCACCATCATCATCGCTAACAACATCACCACCATTGGTTTGGCAAAAACGTATTAAAGGTAAATTAAACTTGGAAATTAGTTTATTATGTTTCTTTTATTTCATTATTTTTTTAATTTCAAATTTACGAACGAGTCTACAGTATTTCAATCTAATTAACTCGTTGTGCTTAAGATATTCAACGTTCAATCACTAAGTTACAGGTTGGAATTAGGTATTCCATCTACTTCGGTTTGTTCTGTCGGATATTATGACTGTAGTGGACGAAGAAGTCAAGTGGTGAAGATCAATTTATTGTGTAATGCACAATCACACAGTGGTTTAGTAAAACGTGAAAGTCATACATCAAATACATCATTTGCACGTATTCTTTGAACTGTCTCTGACAAGTTTCATTGTTCCTTTATTCCTGTTGTTATTTTGATTGCTTTCAGTTTCCTTCTCTGTTCTCTTCAATTCCATCGTAACCTTCTGCTCACAGACATTCCTCTTCCGACTGGTGTCAAATACTAGTATCTACAAGCATAAGTAGCATACACCACATCACTAGTTTTCATATTTAAATTCTGTTTGAAAGTCAAGTCTACACGAATCTGTATCCAGTACTTAATGAATATTATAGTACGAAGAACAATAATAAACCAATATTTTTTATATGGAATAACGACCGTTTCATGACGGCAAGTTAAAACCTCCAGCTTCAATTCAGCATTCTGAGTTCACACGAAAAATATGACGTGAAGAAAAGTATATAAATACACATAAATACATACATATACTTGTTAAACAAGTTTTCCTCTATATATATTTTGAGTATCAATAATTAGGTGTTAAATAATATCATGTATAATCCTCATTGTTGATATAAAGCTTATTAATCAAGTTAGGACACGTGCCATATCACACCAAAATTATTTTTGTAAGCTGAAATGATGATGGCTAGCAATGGAATCCAGGATGCGCGTTTCGTCCTATATGAGACTCGTCAGCTTGATGTACCTGCACTCGAGTTGGTGTTCATCCAGGGACTCGAACCTAGTACCGTTTGCTTCAAACGCCATCGTGTTATCCACTTAGCTACTGAGTCCACTAGCTTGTACCAACGCGCGCCCTGGATTCCACTGTAAGCCACCATCTCAGCTTACAGTGCTTGTGCTGGAAGCAATATCGAAACAGTCCGCACAGGATGCACATATGTTAATAAGAGACTGATCAATTGCAGTCCTAAACATCAACGAGAAGATTCAACAACCAATACAAAATTGAATTATTTTTGTGTTAAATATCAGTCAGTGGTAATATGGACTAGTTTACATAAAATAGATAATGTGTGTGTGGAATTGAGGATATACGTTTCGTTTGACCTGGAACTCGTCAGCTAGATTCACCTGGATTGATTGATTGTTATAACCGATTGTATGAAATCGGCCTACATTAATCACCATACTCTATTTAATCACTTAGTCTAATAATCATATTACTGTAGTGAGAAACATTGACTGATAATTCACATCTAGATACAATCTTAACCGTTAAACATCACTTAACTTTGTTAATAACGAGAGGTTCTTATTTACTATTTTCTCCTTACTACTAATATATTGTTCACTACAAATGCCCCTCGGATATCAATGACGTTGCATTTTTGGTTTAAAATAACTGTACTTTACAAACTATTTGACTAAATTTCATTATGTAAGTGACTATTAAAAAAAACTTTAGAATTTCGAGCTTTTCACTTTCAAATCTCATGTAGTTTAATAAAAGAAATGAGCATACAATGATATTAAAAAAAATTAAACAAAACTATTGTCTAAAAGAGGATAAAATTCAGTATTAGCTTAGAATAGTTGAATGCCTAGCATTTGAAGTGAATGCTCTTTTTTTAACGAAAAAGAAGATTCATCCCTCTTATGTTCAATGCGATTTTTACTTCTTATCTAGCTGACAATAAACTCACTGTTTTTTATTGGTCTTTAAGTGATACGAAATGTTTGTTTTAGGTATCAAATAAGATATGTGATAATTTTCCATTCGACATTTGCGCGGTTGTTGTAACCAGAGTGATTAGAGATTTTGAGTGACATGGATCAAAATCATTGGCTATGGAACAGGTGTATTCATTCATTGTTTTACTTTAAAACCTAAGTTTATTGAATGTTGCACGATCCTTTTTAATTTCACTGTTCTTTATTTCCTTTTTCATTGATATCTTTTATGCTTAATCTTTTCTACTACCACTAATACTGTTACTAATTACGTTACTCTGATATCTCTGTTCTAATATATTGTATCAACATGAACCGATACACATATATACCAGGTTCTATCTTACTGATAAGGGAAATTTCTCATTTGTAATGATAAATATACGGTAATTAGGAATGTGCAAACTAATGTAAGATAAGTGATTTTCAAGTCATTGATAATTTTCTCATCTTGATCTCGTTTTCATTGTATATACATGTACACTAAGTTGTTCAGTGGTGATATATCTGGCATTTTGAAAATTCTGATTGTTATTAACTATCAGTATGGGGTTGTAGAGATTGTTAGTTTTCTTTGGAATCATGAGTCGACCTAAGTTAGACCATCATTAAAAACCAGGAAGCATTGTACGACTGTTTCGTCTCTAGTATCCCACCCCTCTTTAGTGCGCATCCACGATCTCCCGCCACAGAGAAGTGAACTCAGGACCTTCGGTATGGCGCGCGAACACAACCTGTAGACCACTTAGACGGTATTCAACAGTGTTAATCTCTAACTTCAACCAATCCAATACATTACGCAACCATGTTCCTTTGTCTTCGGTGGGTAACTGCCTCACAACTGACACGTTTGAACTCCACTGGTCACAGCTTTTCACCAGAACTGTGGAAATTTCTTCTTAAAGCTAGCGGTTAGTGAGCATATGATAATCGTCAGCATGAAGTTATGGAGATTGTTGAATTCCATTGAAATCACAAACCGATCTAAGTTCAACCACCATTGAGGAGTTCCATACCAGGACGAAAAGACTATTCAGTGCTTTTAGGCTTTTAATAATGGTCTAACTTAGATTGGTTCATGATTTCAATAAAGTTAGTAAATCAATCGTTAGGTAAGATATCACATGAGATAGACCAAGATGTATATAGCACACAGGCAATTACATAATCCGATAAGAACGATTCCCATCATGAATTAATGTCAGTTAAAGCCGATGAAGGAAATTCAGAGATCACTGAGCAATTGTTATTTGTTTTCATCATAGGTGTGCACCTACACCCACTTATTGGTTTAAACTTAGATCCTTCAGTAAGCTAATTAATCCTATTTTCTTATGTTAATCAGATTTAAATAAATTAAAATCATGGTTGTACATTATACAACATCATTCACTGTAAATTTACTTAAATATTATAGACTGTATTGTATATTACCTGACGTTCTCATCTATTAATTGACTTTTACCATTAATTTAATTTCTTTAGTAGTTATCATCTTAAATATTTTTATAATTTACTGTTTAATGAATCAGAAGGGGTTTTTGTGGAGATTTAATATTTGCATAATTGAAAGCATTAGTCAATTGAAGCTAGACCATCAAGGAAAACCTGGAAGCACTGGACTTCCGTTTCGTCCTATTGTGGGACTAATACTGTTACTAATTACTGGTAAGTCCTGGGTTTGAATCTCACGAGGTGAGGTCATGGATGCGCTTTGCTAAGGAGTCCCACAATAGGACGAAACGTCCGTCCAGTTCTTCCAGGTTTTCCTTGGTGGTCTAGCTTCAATTGACTCATATTTAATTAATCGTTAGTTATTATTATTATATTTTTGCTTTCACTTTTTTTTCCATAGATGCTACTCAATGTGTTAATATAACTGTACCATCAGGTTATTTAGCACATCCAATTGGTTATTTAATTTTACAATATCATTGTTTATTTTGTTTAGAACGTAATGAATTAGCTACATTACGTGCTTTATTAAAATTAGCTGTAACACTTGCACAATCACGTGTAAATCGTTCTAATCCACATCATCATAATAATAAATCTACAATACAATCTCAACCAATTACACCAACAAAATTATATTGTACGGATTCATTAATTTCTAATAATAAATTTGGTCTATCTGTGATTTTTCGTTGGCGTCCAGAAGTTTTACAAGTAAGTTTTAGAATTTATTTATTTATTTATTTAAAGGGGCACCAGATACATATGCGCCACACAAAACAGTGAGAATGGGAAGACAAAGGGGGAAGATGCATATATATAAAAGAAAAAAATAGGATGCAAAAAAGAGAAGAGTAATGATGGGGGGGGGAACTAAAATGTACAACCAGAAGACACTTTCAGTTAAGGAAGTTATAACCACTCTTTATGAAGAAAGTAAAAAAAGGTTACAGCAGGATCGCCACTGGCTTATTTTCTGAGCCATATCTGATAACGTTTCTAGCTACTCTGTTGCACTATCTCTTGGACCCCAGCCAGGGAGTCGTTGTAGAATAATCACAAACCCAAGGTCCGAAGGTGAAGTCGTACTGCTGACCGTACACAGGCGTGACGGCAGTAAGGGGTTTCCTTCAGACAACCAGCATAACAGCGATGCTGCCTTCCCACAAGGAGGGGTGGGGTTAGAAAAGGTCGACCCTAAAAATGCACACCTCGCCTTATCCCATGGATATCCATCTCCGGTGGTAAGGTTCCAACAAGTTCGGAGCTAACACAAAAATTACCCCAAAAAGGTTGTGCTTGACCGACCTCAAGCAGTTGTCCCTTGGGCACTGCAGTTACTCTCTGAGGTCTTTAAGACCACTTCTAACCCAATTTCTTTTTCAGTTACCTCTAGTAGGACCCTTCCACGGTGTGGGCAACCGGGAAGTGATAACTGCCCTCATGCCTCTAACAGAACTCAAGATCATTGATTGACTGAAAAAATGGTTGAATGATTATAGTAATATAAGTTTTCAATGTGAGGTTAGGTAGATTTTAATTTCGCCTATTCAGTTTTAGCATCTGGAGAAATTAATATGATACATGCGTGATTATCATAACCAATGGTTAGAAGCTTTGAATGATATGGATCAAAATCATTCACAATAGCCACAGGTTCATTCATTCTGTTTTCCCTTAAAATTTGAGTCTTAGAATCTTCATAACTTTAGCATGAGACATGGATAGCGTCTAAACACCATGTTGGAATCCCATAAAGCTTGTATCATTGAAGTTTGTTTGGTTAATACTGTGTCAAAAGTCATTTATCTTGGTGTAAGTTTTTCCTCTGATCTCTTGATTATCTCACGTTTTATTGTTGTCGAAGAAAGTTTTCTGTTTGACTTATTACATAACGAGGCTACATGCTCATGGGATTACTTGACATATACTATCACTATTTGTCAATTCTAACATATTGCCTGTTACTCTCAACTGTTCTCCATTATTCCTTCTCAGGCTTTTGAGAAAAGATTTTGTTGTATTGCAAAGAGTGCTATAGGTAGTTAGCACGATGTATAGTTTTTTTGTGGGCCATGATTAATATGGTTGTGGATAGACATCTAAAGTCTTGCAAACTCTTGACATGTGTTATCTTATCAGATACTAACCATCCACTTCATTCATAACTGGTATAACAAGACATCACGCTCTCAAGCATAGTTATGAAAGCTCTACAATACCTTATCTAGAAAATAAACTCAGTGGCGAAAAGGGTTGTTAGAGCTAACTTGGTCAATAAATTGTATTCTTAAAAATGTTTGTAATAGGAAAAGTTGTACAGATTCAAATTTTTTTACTTTTTAAAAAGACTTTTCATTTAATTGCAGTCAGTTTATCTACTTAACTTTAGTATATATGTATGTAGTTATCCGGTTCGTTCACTTTTTTTTCATTTTTCTGTAAAAGAAACTTTTGAAATACCTTTGTGCTGAGAGCTTTATATTGTGCCACTAATAATAATAATCGTTATTATTATTATTGCTGCTATTATTATTACTACCTAGAAACATTAAATAGACGAGACTATAATTTATGGACTAACCAATCACATTTAAGATAGCAGATCTTGGATTTTGACTAGAAATTAATCCACTCATTTGGCTAAATATCATTTTGTCATTGTAGCTGATGTCAGTTCGTGATGAAAACATTAATTCTAATTCCTAAACCTGACATTCAACTGTAGATTTTAATCCTAATTCCTCACGTTAATATATAACCCTCAGTTAACCCTAGTAAGCAGATGGACATTCCAAGGCCATTTTGGCGTTGCTCGATGGTCGTTCATAAGTTATAGTCTTACCGTTAAATGTTATTTATGTTAAATGTAATCATGAACTAGTATGAATTGTGTTTTATATTCTTTTTAGGCTTTAGTTTTAGGAATTTCACGTTTACCTCAATCTGCACCTGCTTTTGTGGATATTGATCGAAATACACATATTACTGAAGGTTCTGTTGAATCTTTAAATGATAATACTGGTCAATCAGATTCTGATAATAATTCATCTAATATATCATCTCTAGTTCGTACAAATTCAATGATGTCAAATATAATTCCTAACAATGAATTAGGAAATAATAGTATTGGTTTTACTAATGTTCTAAATCCTACTTGTCAAAATACTAATCCAGAATCTTATTCTACCATAACAGGATCAATTGTTACACGCGCTAATTTAGCTGGTCTACTTAGATCTAGTTTACCATTAATTAATGATGTACAATTATTAGCTCTTGCCCAAGTTGCTTTACTTGTACCTGGACCAACAAATACTAATTTAGGAACTAGTGGTATGTCTAATAGTGGTGGTACCAATGTATCCTCTATTCATCCTTTGTCTTCTGGAACTACTACTAGTACTACAGCTACTACAACTACTACGGATCTTAGTAGTATCAATGAATCTGTCTCATCTGCACCTAGTTTAAGTGAACGTGAAAAACTTGTCAATACATTAGCAAGACATTGTAATATTACATCTGTTGGTAGTACTGGTACGTTGCCAACTACTGATTCAAATTTATTATTCGAATCCAGTACACAACAATCTAGTACAGTAGCAGGTTCAACTGGAAGCTATAAATCATCAAATCCACGTGTTTTAGCTGCTTTGGATGTTCTGCGTAAAGATATTGAAAAATCCCATGTGAGTTCTCTCATTTTGTTTACCATTTGTTATACATACATACAATCATGAATATATTGTGTTTTTATTCAGGTAATTAATAAAGACGATAACTTGATTAGTGATACTGTACACTTTAATGATTGAGCTAACTAAGACATCGTAATCTTGTCTAAACACTTACTCTGACGTACTATTCCAGATAATGTCGGAGAGTAGTTTTAAAAGTGTCTAAAAGTGATGAGATTAAAATGGTATCAGTCCATGAAGTTATTGGCTGTTGGACTAGAGTGAAAGATAACTGTATTTTACAATTGAATACTTTTGGTGACATTGTCTTTATGTCTTTCTTAACGATTTGAATGCATTCATCGTTAAGTTTGAATTTAAATTTTATTTTTATTCTTCCATATCCTTAATTTCTTTTGAACTACACTTCCAGAGCTTAGAATCACCACCCCAAATAATAGTGATTATTTCAACTCTATTGTTAGTTATCTTGTAAGTTTCCTCTTACTCTGTGTGCGTATAAAATATGACAATCTGGAGCGTTGGATACTTATTCTCTGTCCTACATTACTTATAACTGATCGGTACTTGATAAGATCTCGTCATAGATTCATCATACGTACTTAGCTTCTTACTGATATGCGTCACGTGTATAGTAGACGAAATTTTTATTTGCTAACTAAGTGAAGTAGTGAAAATACTGCACACTAGTCCACCTTGTTTTACCGTATAGGTTCGAAAGTGACCATTAGAAGTATTGAAAATTCACAGTTTAATAGTATTTGACCATCGGATATTTTCAAAGGATTACTCGCGTCTAGTATAAGAACCGAGCAAATAATTAAGAGGTTAGATGTTGGGCATTAGAAAAATATGAGGGGTCAGTTGATAGAACTATTTATGTTTATTGACTAAGGTCGCTAAGATGTGCGTTAGTTATGGTCAACTACTGATTACCTCGACTCTAGATATTGTCTAAAGTAGGAGTAGGAGTAGGTTGGGAGGAAGTTAAGGGTGGTCAAACCAAATTGTTATATTTGGTTATAAAGTCTTTAACTAGTGATCCAAGTCGTATTTTTACGTTCAAGCCGTCTGGTCGCAGTCCGCGCGTTTATTGTGACAAATAGTTTTAGACTATGGGGGATGTAATTCAAAACAGCTATGAGTGGCGCAGATGCATTCATTCTTCGTCCATTTCTAGATCGTGGTTTTTTTTAAAAACTATCCTCAGTTTGATCCCTGGTGTGGTCGAGGGTAAGGACAGTTAAGGAATCTCATAATAGGACAAAGAAGCTGTTCAATGCTCCCCCGGTTCTCAGTGTTACTTTATACGAGATCAATGTGTAGGGAATATAATCCACAAGTCAAACTTATCTCCACAAAACCCATTCGACTAGAACTAAGGTTAATTTGCCAATAATTTTGATTCGTATGACTATACTAACCAATGTCATTTTGTTAAGTGCTAATTAAATCGCATCGATCAAATTCCCTCTGGAAACTGTACATTACTTTACACATGGATTTATTAACTGAAAAATAATTTTTCTTCATATTTATGTGATATAGCTTACGGAGAACTGATACTTGAAGTATTTAAATATGATACTAAATTAAAACGAATCTTATAGCGAACAAAGCCGAGGTTATCCGTCACGTTTTTAATGTTCAAGTAATCTGTTATATCTGTCACCTTCAACTCCTTTTCTCTTCATTTTTGGGCGAGTCTTGCCATGAATATATTAGCATATCGCAGCCGAAGATACAGGATAATAAAACACAAATATATTGAAAGTGCTTGAAATTTAGTCTTTAATGGAAATTACATCTTGTTGTTCGGGATTTACTAAATGAACCGAAAGGTGACTGAAATTGTTAGGTACTACATCTTACTTAATCACTGGCAATATAACTGATAACCTTAACCACAAATAATTGTCACAGTTAAAAAATAGAAATGATACTGAATGAGAGTCACACCGAGTTAGTGTTGTAACTGTCACTTAAGGTTGCAATACGAGCCTGTGATATTTGTTTATTAAAGAGTGATGGAGCTGTGCTAATACGAATGGTTCCTATTGCAGACTCAGTTATGGCAGTTGTCACACAACACTTTTAATTGACCGCTAACAAAAAAAATTGGAAGTATGGGAAATGCTTGATATCCAAGTAAAATAACTCGAAACAACACATTCCAGTCTTTAAAGTAAGGAAAGGATAACTTGAAACATGCTGAATATTAGCGAATTAAGATTCATGACAACCAATTAGGAAAGGGCAAAGTTCATGAAAAACCTTGTTACTAGTAAGTCTTTAGCATTATTGACAAAAATTGAATGATCCTGCGATCTCATGTTCTTATCCCATCTTAACATCATGTATATATTTATCTGTGATAAAAATAGTCATTCTTTTCAGAAATTCTTCATTCTCTCTCTCTCTCTCTCCTGTTCCTAGAATTCGCTTGCATCACCGTTAACACCGACAAATTTAGTTGGAATTAAAACTGGACCTGGTGGTTATAGTTCATCAGCATCATCATTAAATGCATCAGCAAATCTCTTAACAAACTTTACTGGTTTTCAAATGCCAGATGCATGGGTTGCTCCATCGCCTCGTAGTCCTTTATCCAGCAATAAATATTCACGTTTTGGTGCAGACTCATTACAGTCATCGAATAATACCAGTACATCATTAACTAATACCAGCTTATCATCGTGTTACTCATCATCGTCAACATCATCTTATGGTTTGCATTTACCCATTGGAACACCTCTTACTAATCCAGGTCTAATGGGAGCTACACCTCATCTAAGTAATCTACATATTGGACAAGGTCAAATGCCAAGTCTACGTAAACTACCAACACTTACTCCCTCACCTGAAATATTATCATCTTTATCATCATCTTCAAGGGAATTCCGTACTCCCTTGTCACCTAATCCTATTCATCATCAAAGAAACAAGTTTGGCACTGATACATTATATGCTTCATGCCCATCTCCAGCTGTACATCGACCAGGTGCCTCTCATGATAATAGTAATATTGTTATTTCTAGATCTCCTTCACCACCACCACCACCTTCGTAATATTTTATATGAATTAATTGTTTTCCTCCTACTGTATTTCGTGTGTATGTAAAGTTTTTGTAATTGTGAATACAAACAACTTATGACATGTATATGTATAAACTTTGAACAGTTTCATTTATTTATTTATTTTATTATTATTATCTAGTTTCGGTTTTGTTTTTCGAAACAAACAAAATTTTTTTATTCCATTTGAATATTTTGTTAATAAGAAAAATCAGACCTTAATTGTTTGATTTGTTTCTCTCATTTACCGATAAAAATTGGATGGTTATTATCTAACGGCATGGAATTGTTGTTTTCACCTAGATGTTCATCAGATTAGATAGAGGACTTTTTTTCAATGAAATAAACGTGTGAATTTTAAGTGCTTGAAATGGATAATATGGTGCACATTGGCTCCAGGATCCTGAGGGAACAAATGACGTATGAATAAATTGTTGGTCACTGTCTACCATGGGACTGCATCTCCTTATGATGCTCCACTGTCTTGTGGATCAAACCTTTAGGTCAAAGGCTCCGGGTGTGGTCCTTTAAGAAAACCACCTGTTTCAGTTTGGGCACCTTGGCAGTATCACAGCCCTCATACAAATCAAACGAGATTTGTGTGGCACATATATATTTGGTGCCCCTTTGTACCAATATTTATGTGTTTAAATAAATAAATAATATTTGAAGTGAATTGGCTTGCTAGTTTAGGTTTAGTGGTGGAACTTTACTAAACTGACAAATTAATTAGATTTAAAATAGTAACTGTTGGATTCTTGAAGGAAATCAAATATTTAGTGGCTTATAGCTTGTACATTATTAAGAAGTTGAAAATTGATGAGTTTTTCAATGTGCAGTGACATAAATACAGTGTGAAAGTTAATGTACAAAAAACATCTTATTTTAAAGAAGATTAAGTCTGCTTGTTGATTGTATTCGATTTGATTCTGAACATAGTCAAGGGTTTTTATGAAGTCCCTCAGGGTCTCTCATTTATTATGACTCAACCAAAACAGAAAAATCCCTCATTTGTGTATGGTTTATGCAGTCAGGGACCAACACTTAGACGAAATACTAAAGAGCGTTTGTTTATTTATTAGGATACAGTTATAATTATCAGACTGTCGTTCATATGCCCCAGTTTATCGATCTTATATGTAGCGTCCACTCTAATAGTATTGAAGCAATTTGGCAAAGATTAAGGTCTTGTTTCCACTTTTATATAATGCCTCTACAGTTAAAATAATGTTGACTTATATGGACGACTATTAATAATGTGAAATTACTATATACCTTTAATGTTTTTGATTTTGTGACTAATTATTGATTTGTAACATTTGCATTCGGACTGACAAATAACTGGAGGAAATTTGGAAGGGTCTCTTTTGAAGTCTCTCGTCAATATAGCATAGTTTCACCGGTTTACATTTGAAAAGCGACTATAGCTGAGGAAGAAATCAAGAAACTAATCTATGGTGGAAAGGGTATTCATTTCTATCAGCACATGGAAGTATCCGCTTTTTTTGTTGATTTAGTAGCAAGAAAGATTAAAGTACTGGGTTTTCAGTTCGTTTACAGCAAATGTTACTTACGAACAATTAATGATTCTTCTAAAATAACTCAGTGATTGGGAACTCGAATAGAAAAGACTTTTGTTATACAATAATACTTCAATGTTAGTAATTCATACTCTAATATAGAAGATGGGTTTTTCAAGATAAATTTATATTCCTTTAACAATTCGAAAATCGAAAACAAACAACTCTTTACAGTAACGTGCAAAGACTTTGGAGCACATAACGAGGTCAACAGACTAAAAGTGGTGGCAACTAATCAGGGCAAAACAAGTGTTATTTCAGTAATAGGAATTAGGGAAATGTCATCTAGGTTATCCGGTAAAAAATAATATATGGATGTACCAATCATAACCGAGAAAGTGATATTTAGTTTTTTGCTTGAAATTTAAATCTGCATGGCATGCAGCAAAATTACTTTTGTATGTTGCCCAAGACGGTCAGCATGATACCATATTATTTCCTATCTCTATTATCACAGTAAAAACGATAGTGTTAAACGTATGAAATGTTTAATCCCGTCTCTTCTGATTATATAATAACAGCTTAATCTTGAGACCACCCTTGACCCGGTAGCATTATAGTGAAGGAGAACACAGGTGAGGACACTGATTATATTTAGCACAAAATTACAGAGTTGATAAAATAAAGAAAATCATACTGTAATACTTTATCTGCAAAATGTTCATTAATTGTGTCAGACCTCATTGTTCTTGCAGTCTCATAGCAATTGCTTTCTGTTCCCATTCTTTCCTTCTCAATCTTTTGCTGCCAGACATTCTATCCTGACTTGCGATATATACTACTTATGTCGATATAAGTAGTACACACCACAGCACTACATTTTGTATATGGGCTAACCGATAGCATCTCTTGTATTTTTGAGTGGAGTTCATTCATTCTTATGATTGCGGAGCAATTCGATATTATAGGCGATGTCAACTTGTGATTAAAACCCATAACTCCTACTATAATAGGAACAATTTAGGAACTCTTAAAAATCTAAGTCCTTATAAAGGTTCGAGAATATGGAAAATCTAGATTCATGTGTATGGGCTTATATTATCGTTGTTTTCCAAACTTACAGGTAGAGTAACCTGTCGAAGACATTAGTAGATTTATTAATTACATAAAACCAGTCAACACTTATTATTGTTTGGTTTCCTATAGGCTATCCATGTATAGAAGCTACTTTGTAATCGGCTAAAAACAAAATGGAAATCCTTCATGGTTGTTTTAATCACGGTTCTTTTGTCGATTATCCTTTAAAGAAAGAACTAAGGTGTGACAACAAAAGACCAGATAACTTAATCGACTACAATAGCAACAAGACACACTACTCTTATGTATTTCCTCCACCAAATGTCTGCCTAGGAATGCGTCTATTTGTTCTAGTTGACTTTATTTCTTTTTTTTTAGCTTCAATAGACTAAATCATTTCACTGTTTATGCATAACTTCACATCGTTACATATCCCCAAGTCTGCCTTCTAGCTAAGTAGATCCTTCTGCTTATAGCCTGCAACATATGTTATAGTCGGTGGGTCTTGGTTATCGTGGCAATTAGGTCGATTTGTACTCATAGAGTCACTTTTAATTGTATTCTCTTCTGAATCAGAATACACAAAGGACTCACTTTTAAGATTTTGTATTCTGAAATCTTTTAGTAAGTGGATCATTAAAAAAAAATCTGATTTCTTTTCTTAGAAAGTTTACTGTCCCCACAAATGTAGCAAATAGTTTGTCTTACTATTATGGAATCTGAAACGAATTTATTAGTGCGAATATTATTTTATTTAAATCGGTTGGTTACATTTCAAATAAAGATTCATGTAGCATATGCAAATCTTTACTGGATGACAATATACTACTAACTAATAATAAGCAGTATCGTTTAGAAACAATACTATTCCTTCGAAAGCACTCAAACTTGGAAACACAGTAGTCTGTAAAAGAAATTTATCTGAATTATATTTTAAAACATTTCACGTTACTGAATTCTTCCTTCCTTCTATTACTTCTAATATTTATAGACATTACTATCTACGTTCTCATAGAATCAGCATATCACTACTTGTTATTCATGAAACATATATCCTTTCTGATGTTACTCTTTAATCATCTAATTGACATAAAGCAGCTACACCACGATTAATCCAATGCTCTTGTGGTTGATTTGTTTTCATATCAATATATAATACAAAATTTGTTGAATGTCCTGTTGTTGATAGAACACCACGTCGAGCAGATGTTTTGTAGACTGGGCAAGTATAAGTTGATTCACGATTGATTTCATTCAATTTTTTTGGAATAAGCCAAATCTAATGTGTACAGAAAAAGTGAAAAAAAGAAGTTATAGGGTATAATGTATAGCCTTTAATACAGACTGAATTTGTGATATAATAGACATACTAACGGGTTTGATATCACAGTATAGTTTGATTGATATTCGAATAATAAACTCAATCAAGTTGAGGTTTTGGACATAAGTTGAATAATTTTGGAGGATATGGAAACCTTTACATATCTGGGCACCATCATTGATGAACACGGTGGGTCTGATGCACATGTGAGGGCGAGGATCAGCAAAGCAAGAGCAGCATATTTACCACTGAAGAACATCTGGAACTCAAAGCAATTGTCAACCAACACCAAGATCAAAATTTTCAATTTAAATGTCAAGACAATTCTACTGTATGGGGCGGAGAACTACGAAAGCCATCATCCAAAAGATACAGGTATTTATTAACAGTTGTCTACGCAAGATACTTCGGATCCGTTGGTCAGACACTATCAGCAACAAGCTACTGTGGGAGAGAACAAACCAGATTCTAATGGAGGAAGAAATCAGGAATAAGCGCTGGAAGTGGATAGGACACACATTGAGGAAATCACCCAATTACGTCACAAAACGAGCCCTCACCTGGAATCCTGAAGGCCAGAGGAGAAGAGGAAGACCGAAGAACATATTACGCCGAGAAATGGAGACAGACATGAGAAGAATGAACAAAAGTTGGATAGAACTAGAAAGGAAGGCCCAGTACAGAGTGGGTTGGATAACTTAGGTCGGCGGCCTATGCTCCACTGGGAGTAACAGGCGTAAGTAAGTAAGTAATGTAATTTGGATGGCCAACGAAACTAATATTTACTTGAAGAGATCAGATAATTCTTCATGAAGTATGATTTATTATGTTATTTGCGAATCAGTCAGTTAATAATAAGTGGATTAAGTAAAAAGGCGATTTGACATTTATTAGTTTTATTGGTGAAAGTACGTTACTTGTAGGTTGGTCGATTCAATTTGAAATCTTTTCCTGACATCATCATCATCAGTACCTACCTCTGCTTCACACGAGTCTGTATGAATAATACATTTTAAGCATTTGAAACTGAGCCACAGATGTACGTTACTTACAAGATGCCGTTTGTAAAACATACTGTATCTACTATTTTGAAATAAACTTATATTCTCTATAGAGTTTGTATCTACGTCACATTCAATGAAGTTACCAGTAATCTGTTGAGGTGAGATGTTAACGTTAATCGGTTGTTGTGAAATAATTAATATCATGTCGTTTTATTCATTAGTTCTGACCGATTTTCATATTTCAATAATTAGTTGTAAAGGTTATTATACTACATTGAACACAAGTTCCTTTTATAATTTCTTACTATCTTTTTTAACTGCTAGACAGCTAGTCCACCATGAGGAACCTAAAAACACTTGACGGTCGTTTCTACATTGTATGGGGCTCCTAAGCAGTGCACATCCACGATCTTGCACACAACACTCAAACTCAGAACCTTCGGTCTCGCGCACGAACGCCTAACCTCTAAACCACTGAGTCGGCATTCAACGGTGTTAATGTCCAAATTGAATCCATCCATGAT